GAGGGAGTGGAATCCTTCAGGGCCCATCTGGATGTCTGGGTAAAGGTTCTACGGCCTTCAGGTCCTTTGCCTCTCTCCACAGGGGGTCCCTCTTTGGGAGAGCCCTCACCAAGTACTTAGTGGATCAGGTTTAGCTGGTCCCTAGGATCTGGGTTTCCTGGTTTTGGGTTTAGTGGACCTTGCCCCTGCCTGGAACCTTAAGGCTAGATTCACACTAGGCAATTAAGCTGGGGAGCTGTTTTTGCGCAGCTGTCGCGCGTTTTCGTTTGTGCAGCTGTGCTTTGAAAACCGCGTGGTTGTCGCATGGTTTTCAATGCATAGAGATGTCTATGGGACCCAAACCGCGCGACAACCGCCCGAAAATAGCTCCTGCATCTTTTTGCGTGACAGGTGATTTCGTCCGCACGACAAACCGCAAAGGTGATGTCACAGATCGGGACTCACGGGTATGAACTGGAGTCCGGTATGTGGACCCTTTCCACTGCACTGGCAGGGACCCTCAGAGAAAAGGGTCCAAGCAGTGTAGGGTGACGACTCCCAGAGCTGGCGTACAAGCAGGGGAACTGAATGAGGTAGTGGAAGTCAGCTAAAGCTGGAAGTTCAAATACAAGGCAGGGTGGTGCAATGCAGAGTAGGTGGCATGGGATGCTGAGTAGGTGGCAGGGGTTCCCCAGGATGTGGAATATAAGAGCCAGCCGGTATTCGCCAGAGCTCCTGATGGTGGAGATGGGCTTGGCTGCGTGCTGACCAAGTCACAATCCCTAGGTCCACCCAACTCACCTAACAGGTACAGGGTACAAATCAAAGGCTAGGTACAGCCTGAAGACTTCCAGGGACCAAGCGAAGCACAGCGTAGACTGTAGACAGGGATTTCCAAAGACAAAAGTGAAGCAGAGGGCAGTCTGTAGACAGGGATTTCCAAGGACAAAAGGGAAGCACAGGGCAGCCTGTAGACAGGGATTTCCAAGGACAAAAGGGAAGCACAGGGCAGCCAGTAGACAGGAATTTCCAAGGACAAGCCAAAGGTTCAGTACACGGGAAAACTTCCAGGAATTCAGGGTAAATCACAAATGGGGGCCACAGTGAAGCAGAGGGCAGTCTGTAGACAGGGATTTCCAAGGACAAAAGGGAAGCACAGGGCAGCCTGTAGACAGGGATTTCCAAGGACAAAAGGGAAGCACAGGGCAGCCAGTAGACAGGAATTTCCAAGGACAAGCCAAAGGTTCAGTACACGGGAAAACTTCCAGGAATTCAGGGTAAATCACAAATGGGGGCCACAGCAACTAGCTTGGGAAAGCATTGCCCAGGCAGCGAGCTGTTCGCGGCCCTGATTTTAAATAGAGACAGGAAGAGGGAGGATCCACAGGATTGGCTACAAGCGGACTGCACTGATTGGCCGAGAAGCTGCATAAGAAACAGCAGGAGAGGTCGGCCGACGCCTAAAGCTTGCAGACAGGTGCAAGTGTGAGTCAGGTTTAGAGCGCATGTCTGGAGGACTACAAGCACCAGCACAGCCCTACATGTCTGCAGAACCAGGGGTAAGAGATATGTATATCCTTGTAGAACTACAAGTAGCAGCTCAGCTGCAAGTCTGCAGCTGAACTGTGACAGGTGAGAACAGCCTCCATTGACTTCAATGCGACTCAATCAGTGTGATAAATCACCTAGGTGTGAACCTAGTCTCAGAGTTAAGAGATTGAGGGCCGGTGCACACCTAGGCGATTCCTGACTGTGCGGCAATCGTGCACGATACAACACAGATTGCCGCGCGGTCAAGGAGTCGCCCAGCACAGAGGGTCATGATGTGAGTGCCATTATTTTCTAATAATCACGTGGTTTTCCAACGCAATTCCGTCCGTGCATCCGAACACTAAAACCGCGCGATGTGCATCGCAAAAAAAGGTACATGTACCTTTTTTCTGTGATTCGCACGCCGATATCACCCCATTGAAATCAATGGGGCCGTTCGGCAATCGCTGTCAGCATTGTGCAGGACCACATGATCCCGGATTGCTCAGGTCTGCACCGGGCCTCAAGGTCGTTCCTTTGGAAGAGGACCAAAGCATCCTCCTTTTTTATTTGGTTTGTTTCACGCTTTACTTTCTCACAGGGGTTTTCCGATTCACGCGCTGCGGGCTACAAAGATATGATTTGCATGGCTACACCCCCTGTCCTGACATGAGGAATAATCCTCTAAATTTTGAGTTTTGTGATGAAATGAGACAAGTGAATACCTTATGCTGTATTATGCACTCATCATGTACAGGAATGGGAAGGCATGGACATCTATTATGGCTTCTCATCCACATGTGACTATTAATGCTGGCAGTGGAAGATGAGTTTTCCGTTCTGCTGGATGTTCAAATGAAAGTTCTGCAGCGTAGGCATGCAAATGTGTTTATAAAGGGCATCCTGCACACTTTGTATAATACAAACAAAAGTGCCTTGGCTGTGAATACCCCTCGGAGACAGATTTGTAGTCCTTTGAGTCTGTGTGAGCTGATAAGAAACACATTAAACGAGAAAGGCTCAATTGCTAAATTGGATTGTTAGCAGCAACTTGTTATTCTTCTGTCTACATGAAGACATTGAAAGGGACCACTGGGAGGACAAGAGCAGAAGACACAGCCACTCGTCAGGGTACTCAGGTGTTTCCTCCGAGAGGATACTGGCTCATCCTACAAAGGCAAGTGATAAGTTGTGACAGTCATTAGAGGTAGAAGTGGCATCTGCTAACACAGGGATTTGCACAGCTGCAGGCTGCTAACAGCAATTCACACAGAAATAAACCCGATAACTGCAATGTTTGTCATAATGGAGATATACATAATAATAAAACAGCTTTTTCTAAGGTGTTGGCTTTATTCGTTGGAAGAGAAATCCACTATGATATTCATATTAAGCACAAGAGCATCCATTCTGCATAAAGGAACTGTAGATCCATTTTGAGTAAAGAGTGAACTTTGTTCCCCCTCCTTTCTTAGAAATTTAGTCCTACAACTTCATGATATCTGCTGACCTTCTATAGAGTTATTTTATCCCCTTTGCTAGTTCCGCATAACATTTTTTACCACCCCCTTTTCTTATCTTATGTATAAAAACCCTAATGCGTCGTAATAAATGTCAGAACAGATCTTTCAGGCAGAACTCTATGTCTTATTTTGTTCTCTGCAATTGCATATTGATAATCAGAGTCTCAATAAGTAATATCCACGACATTGTCAGGAAATAAGTATTTTACACAAAGCACAGAATTACATAATAAATACATAAACGAGAACAGTATGTCTGCTGCACAGCTGTCATTTCCATTGTCACAATAAAGAGTGTAGTTTTATAATATTTGGCACAATCAGTGGTCATACAGAACTGTACAATTTTGGCTTCAGTTGCACTTCAAAGAATCCTTGTCCCCTGCTGGTTCACATTTATTAGAATGTTCTACTATTGTTCAAACCAAAAACATTTGTGACATTAGCAGACTTCAGTTATTTTTGCAAGCATCTGAATAGAAAAATGCCTTTCGCCGACAAGTAGCCCCAAAATGCAATTACATGTGAATTTTGTAGTCGGCCGGAAAAAGCGTCACCGGTTGCTAAGAGCTCTTAACAACCGGGGACACTCTAGCTGTAAAGGGATGGCAGGCCCTGCTGCCCCCCCATGTGACCCAATGAAATGCCACCTTTAGCAACCATCTCATTATAAGGACCAGCCTGGTTCCAACGATCCTCATCGTGCAACCATGGCCAGAGCGGCACAAGTCCCTTGCTTGAGAAAATATTTATTGTTTTAACAGGGTACAGACATTTTGTAGGAACAATAGTGTATATATAGCAGGGATCCCAAGCTGAAATAAGTCATTTCAGCGAGGTGCTCTTCTCATTTCAGGGAGGTGCCCTCTGTCCTCCCCCACCCACTTGCAACAACAAGGAAGAGAGTACCCCCTGAAATGATGCTATCCCTTCCCTTGCTTTCTGCTATTTTTTTAGTATTCTGACAGATGCTGCCATCAGAATAAAAACATTTAAAAAAAACAGCATAGGAATGAATAGCTAGATTGCTATTGGCTAGTTCAATTGGCAATTGCCAATAGCAAGCTGGCTATTGCACCCGCCCTCTGCTGCTGTCAGTCAGTAAAGGAGGAGCTGATGGAGAACTTCAGGTCCACCTCTGCTGATTGACAGTAGCAGTGGGCGGGTGCAATAGCTAGTCTGCTATTGGCTATTTCAATTTACAATAGCCAATAGCAATCTAGCTATTCGTTCCTATGCCGTTTTTGTTTTCCGACTGACGGCGGCTGGCGGCCCCGATGTCAAGAAAAAAAAAAAAAGCAGAGCAAAGAAAGGTTTACTCTGCTAGATAATGCAGGGTATACCTTTCCGGGAGAAAATGTTTCTCTCCCCCTATGTGTCCGGGAGCCGCTATCTAATAGCGGGAGAATCCCAGAACATCCGGAAGAGTTGAGATGCCTGATATAGGCTGATGCAGCAATTGTTAGCGAGGGTGAATATGGTCCACAGTATGGAATGTTGTGAGATGGTAGTGTATTTGGGTTATGCTAATCTTAAAATGGGATTGTGCCTTAGGGCCCAGGGGCCTACTGACATCCAATAGCTTATCGGTGCCTGCCAGGCCCTTTTCATCCTACGCATGCATGATATGGCCCCATTTATTTCAACGAGGAGATGTACTCATGGCAGCCTCCAGCAGTTCTGTGGAGTATGGTTCTCCCTTTAGGAAGGAATGGGGCCACAGTGCTCATGTACCTGTCAGGGGTGCTTTCGGAAGAAAGCATGGTGGCCAGTGAGAATCTCTGGAATGTGGACAAAGGCAAATATTGGACCAGGTTGGGCATATGCCCTGAAGGGCAACTTGTACTAAAGATATCGTTTTCCTTTAAGAATAAACCTGAGCTGACTGAAAATGATAAGAATTGGCAACCATTCTCTAATGTTTGTAGTCACCCTACATTCTGATTGAATGGCTAAAATGTAACAAAGTTAGAAATTTTCCTTGAAAAATTTGAAGTTGAACTGTTCACATTGAGCCTTGATGACTTTAGCTAGTGCTGGAGAGCCGCAGAAGAACACTTGCACCTTTCCTTTCTTCTCCTGCGCAATTTTCTGGAACACCTAAAACCAAGAATACAAATTGTTAGTTATTTGTAGAGAAGGTGAACATAGAAATATTCAGCTGTAATCAATTATGCCTTGTTCCAGTCTGGACGTCCTGGCTGTGTCCGGGTCTTCAGTCCTGTAATAGAGTCTTTTTGTTCCTTTTTGGCCAGAAGGTCCAGAGCCATCTGTAGTCCAATGGCCTTCATGTCATTCTTGCCGAGAGCGGAGGTCATGTACATGTGCATTTCTAGAAACCGACCTGTGATACAGAATGTTATTTTTATTTTCTGGGCAGATTCAGAACAATTGTACTATGAACATACAGTATATAACTGGTTCCCTAGTGACAGATTACAATTATTTGGTGATAACTGTTAGGTTGGCATCTTCCTAGCTGGGAAAAACTTTCACCATGTTCCATATGATCAGCCTATCAATATGAAACTCTGTTTATTTACCTGTGTTTTCTTTCTGTTTTAGGCCAGGTTCACACTTTCAAGTTCGGTGACCGTGCGGCAATCGTGCACTGAACCGCGCAGATTGCTGTCTGGTCACGGAGTCGCACACCACCGGTGATCGCACTGGTGGTGCCATTCTTTTCGAATGGCACCCCGTCGCGCCGGACGGATCACGTTGGTTTCCCTCTGCAATTCCGCCTGTGCAACTGAACATGTTCGCAGCTAAAAAAGCGGTGCGTCGCCTGTCGCAAAAAAAAGGTACATGTACCTTTTTCAGTGATAACCGCGCAAATGTAACCCCATCCCGAGACGTGCATCCCAGGATCGCGCAGTTCTCTACCAGCCCTTAGATCTGCTGTTTAGAAAAAATAAAATCATATTCCATAAGGCTTTTGGCATTTATTAGACAATAATGTCTCTTTACATTTATCACATATATTTCTGAGGCTCCCAATCAGAATCAGACAGACCCAGTGCATACAGCCTGCTATTACGTACATTTACTGGTGATTTTGTAATCTAACTGACTTCCTCACATTTAAGGTAATTATTTTTGCAATCTTGTGCAGCTAAATTTTTGAACCAGACAGTACAGCTAGAGATTATCTCCACTACAACAGCAACGCATAAAACAGAGGGAATCCCTACGGGGAGCGGTGACTGACCGTCATCATTCTGCAAGGAGAACATCGTGAGCTGAGCAATCAGCAGTTCATGAACGCTCCGCTCTCCATCTATAGAGTGTGACAATGCAGTGTCACACGCTGGCTCTAAGTATTGGGAAGAGTAGCCCAGTACCTTTTTTCTACCCCAGTCCCCCCCGCACTTATCTGTCAGCTGCGCTCGTCCCTGCCGTCAGTCCTGAAGCGATCCTTCGTTCCCCGAACTTCCGGGTTGCGGGGGGAGGATACTGATGGCAGAGGAGCCATAGGGTCCAGCAATCAAAGAGGGAAGGGGCGTGGCCTGCCACAGGGGTGTGTGTGTCTATGGACGCACACAGCCACTGTGGAAACGAGTGGGCACAAGCGCGCATGGGTGCCTCCATTAGAACGTGGTGGCACCCGTGCGGGGGCAGGGGGTAAGATCACTGCGGGGACCCACTAGAAAACAAGCAATGAAAAAGTTTTAAAAAATAAACAACAGCCTCCAGCAAAGGAGGGTCTCCCTAAAGGAGAATTGTAAAAAAAAAATAGGCTTTAATATCACTTTAACGGTGTCTTAGTATTACCTATCTGTCTGCATTCTTCCACTTGCCCTGGAACTCTTTCTTCACACTTTTGTAATGAGGTTATGTAACAATCACAGTTTATTGCGTCTGTGAAGGTTCCCATTTATCCCGGTCATGGTAAAGCTGGTAGTGGTTAGTCACATCCAACTGGACTTTGTTCTGCAATGTTGAAGACGTTTCACATCATTGCTTCTTCGGTTCTAATGAGTGTCAGGAACATACCCCAGTATTTATATCCACACAGGTAGCACAGACACCTTCATCCAGTCACCACGGAATGGGGGAAGATCTGCCTTTATTCCACGATGTTTAGAGTACCCAGTTACCCGCCTCAGAGTAGAGTTACGTCTGTGGATATCATACTGGGGTATGTTCCTGACACTTATTAGAACTGAAGAAGCAACTTAGTTGAGATGTGAAATGTCCAGTTGGATGAGACGACTTCTACAAGTTGCACTTTTATGTGCTTTCATTGGATGTTTTTTTTGTGATAATGAATCATTAATATATATTTTAGTTAAGCCCAAACCATCCAAAATGTTGTATTCTTGTTTTAAATAAAGCAGTGAAGGTTTAGAGCCTCTACTGCAGGGGGAGACAAACTTTGTCCCTCCAGCTGTGGTGGAACCACATATCCCATCATTCATCTGCCTCTGGGAGTCATGCCTGTGCCTGTCAGAGTCTTGGGATTTGTAGTTAAACCACAGCTGGGGTCCCCAAATTGGCTACCCCTGTTCTATTTGGGTTTTTTCTTTAGTTTGCCGTCTATGTTTCTGTTGAAGAGATTTCCTCAACTTCCTCCCAGGACAGGTAGTGATCTCTCCAACAGGAGCTCAGAGAAAACACATTTTAGGTAAAGTGGAGAAATCTTAGAACTTCAGAGAATGTTCTTATTGTCGTATGTGCCTTCCTGTTACAGTAAAAACTGCTCCCCCCATTTCGTGTCCTGGTGTCACAGGGACAGGAAGTGAGAGAAAATCTCCCAGTGGGTTCACAGACAGCAATTACAAACCTAGCAGAATATTTTAACTTTTCCCCACTTTCTACTTTTTTTTTTCCAAAAAACAAAAAATACATTGTCTGGAGTTTGGCTTTAAAGCTGAGATAAGCAAATACTGTCTAAATACAAGAGGCCTGTGTATTATTCCTTAAATCTTGATGAGCTTTGTGTATTTCTTCCAGATCTATGATCTGTAGTTATCCAGTGTGAAACTTGGAGCTTCCTGTAATAAAGACCGGTCACTGCTGCTCTCTCTCTCCTTGCACAGGGTGACTGGTCTTGTCTCTGCCCCCTCTTGTAGTTTTCTGCAGGCAGTCTGTAGTGGGTGGAGCCTGCTGGGTCCCTCCCACAGCTCTGTTCTCTGGACAGGCTATGTGCAGCACAGTGATGATGTCACATTGTATATTTACAAAACAATATCCGGGTTTACATAGGCATTTGGTGCACACAAAGTGGATTTATATTTTCTGTATCTGTTGAGGAATATATGTAAATGAAAGGTTTTGTGTCTGGAATTCAGCTTGTGATATTACAGTCAAAAGAGTTTTAAGCTATTTCAAATGCTGATTAGATCACTTACAATGAATGCTGCTTCTTGATATTGAAATGTTTTAATTTCCTGCAGAAATCAGCTGGTCCCCTGAGCACTGGTCCTAATATCCTGTTTTAGGGTGGCTCCTTTCCCTTGCAGGGTACTATAGAGCCACCCTTATGTGTGCTAGTAAGTGGTGTGTGTCTCCACAAACACACAAAAGAATATGGACACCGGCACTTCAAAAGCAGATAGAATACGTCTATTTATTTGACGTACATAGAAACAGGTAGCATAGCACACTTAGTGTGACGTTTCGTGGTCACACAGGATCTCCTTCATCAGGCATAATCCACAAACACACAGACACATCAAGACAATCCGTTCCCCTGCTCCCTCCTCCTCCCCCCTCCCCACTTCAAGCTAATCTAGTAGATGGACGCTGCTGAAGACTGTTCTCTCCCTTGCAATCTTGTAGTGGACCGGAAGTTCGGGGAAGCTGACCTGAGAGAGTTGGGGCTTTTCAGAAACATGATAACTGTAAATGCTTGGGCAAAAATGTAAAGAAATCCGTTGCTGGGCCATGTATTATTTGATCTGGATTAATTATTTACCAAAAGATTGAGAGTTGAATACTACTCTAAGCATAGATCATTTTGACAGGTGGTATTTTTGTGGTATTTGGCATGAGAAGAGGTGATAGGAGACCAGTTTTGATTTTGTTCGCTTAAACGCGTGTTTTCATGACCTTTAAATAAACACTGAAGTAAGTTTCCTGTGTAATTTAACGCACAAGCCAGATTTGAATTTTAAGGAAAGGGAAACTGTCATGTTTTTCTTCCAAAAAGTTTTCTATAGAGCCCCTTTCCCCTTCTCGGCAACCAGGGAAATTTAAAGTTCTTTTGACAGCGCAAATGTATTTCACGGCCTGGTCTCCTGAGCACGCCATATGAACGTTCAGCTTCTGACAGCACCATTGAAATACATGACTATGATATCCTGGGAGTGAGGCAAGTCGTTAATCACGGACAGGTTAACGGAAACCCACCTCTTACTATGTACTTTACATTCGGGGGAAGCAATAAACAGAAAAGTAATAAGAATAAGTGTAATTCTGCAATCATCCGGGAATTAATTACAGGAAAAGGAAGTGTCAAGGTTCCTGTAGTGAGTAGAAGAGTTCTGCCAAATTGGCATATCTATAGCCACCCTAAAAAATGTAAGGTGCCTATAGCCACGTCTATTTTGCAACTTAAGAGGACCTGCCTGTAAGCGACATACACATAAAGTACATGCTTATGAAATATAAGTGTGTTAGTCAACAGAATTATAGAACTAACCAGGCATATGATACCAACATCTAACTTCCTTAGCAAAGTTGAAATAAAAAGCTGTTCAGCCAACAGGCTGAATGATAGACAAACGCTTAATTCCTTCATTCCCCCCTACCATGTAGATAGCAGAATGCGCCTTCCTCACCAATGAAACCTCGAAATTACTCATCCACTCACTTGTTGTTATCTCTCGTCTTGACTATTGCAACTCCCTCCTTATTGGCCGACCTCTACACAGGCTATCCCCCCTTCAGTCTATCATGAATGCAGCTGATAGACTCATTCACCTAACCAACCGCTCAGTGTCTGCAACCCCCCTCTGCCGATCCCTCCACTGGCTTCCAAAAGCCCAAAGGATAAAATTCAAAATATTAACAACCACTTATAAAGCCATCCACAATTCTGCCCCCTGACTACATCTCAAACCTGGTCTCAAAGTATCACCCTAACCGTTCCCTCTGCTCTTCAATAGACCTTCTGCTTTCCAGCTCCCTCGTCAACTCCTCCCATGCTCGCCTCCAGGACTTCACTAGAGTGTCTCCCATCCTATGGAACTCTTTACCCTAACCTGTCCGTCTATCTCCCGCTCTGACTGCCTTTAGGCGATCCCTTAAGACTCATCTCTTCAGGGAAGCCTATTCCACCTCAACCTAACCACTGAACTATCACTTCCTCAAACAATTTATCCCCACACAGCTACTTCCTCATGTATCACTTGCCCCTCCCTTTTAGATTGTAAGCCCTGAGGGGCAGGGCCCTCCTTACCATCTTGTCTTGAATTGTATTGTGATTGTAATGTCTTCCTTATATTGTAAAGCGCTGCACAAACTGTTGGCGCTATATAAATCCTGTATAGTAATAATCTGATGGTTGCAGTCCCCGTTCATCTGAGAATTTTGATGGCTCCTTAATCACTTTGTTGAGCCAGATGGGGCTGAATGGGTCATCCACGGCTTAAATTCCAGCAAATTTGCCAAAATTCAAGCCGTGTATGGCCCCCTTCAGCCTGCGTTTACACCTTTGAGAATTTTTGCATTGTGTCTAAAATAATCTAGTGTGCTGCATCTTTGGTGCATCCACTTTGGTGGATGTATGGTAACACATGTAAAAGTTAGGTACAGTAAATGCATTAAAAATGCCCCACACTGGAACTGCATCAAATGAAAAATGCAGAGAGATAAATGCAGCTTCAATGAGTCCTACTGCACATGCATGTCACACTGCCCAAGGCATCTCTGCCAGCCACCACACCGCTAAACCCGACCACTGGTTTTAAAGCAGTAGAGTAAAGGAGGCATGCTACAAATTCCTCCAGCACAAGCTTATCAGGGTGAGAACAATAGGACAAGGTTTTCTAACCTTTCCATTTTGGTATTTCCCCAATATGCCTTGACTGGCAATGTCTGCAGGTGCCCCATTGACACTGGACATTGCCCTCATTCAGGTGACTTTGAGGTCTATAAAATATTTGCAGGGCCCTTCACCCTGCGATCTCTGTGAATGTTTGTTTTGGGTGAATAATGCCAAAAATGAATGTTCTTAATTATTTTTTTCCCAGTTACAATGTAGTGTAGTAATAATACACAATGACCACTACATGGAGGTTCCCAGTTTGAATGTAGTTTGTTGTTGTAATAATACATTATGGCCACTAGATGGAGCTGAGGACCATAGTTAATAATAATAATAATAATTATTATTATTATATGATTTATGTAGTGCCAACAGTTTGCCCAGCACTTTACAAATTATGGGGAGACAGTACAGTTACAATACAATTCCATCAAGAGGATTATAAGTATTTTTTCTTATGCTCATCAGCTCCATCTAGTGGCCATAAGATGGCCAGACAACAACACACTCCATTCGAACTGGGAAACTTCATCTAGTGGTCATATTGGATTATTGCAATACTACATTCGAACTGGAGAAAATATATTAAGAACATTCGTTGGCATTATTCACCCAGGGTGAAGGGCCCTGTGAATGTTTATAAATAGATCTTTTTGTGTACTGTCTATAAACAATCTCTTACCTTCTGGCTCCTCATCAGCTTGGTCCATCTCAAGCTTAGTTAATAAACTGACAAACCACTCAAAAAACTTCTGGTCTCGGTTTATCCAGATAAAGTCCACCTGGAATGGAATAAAATGAAGGGAAATTCAGTTATGTTTTTATCTTTTTGCAAACTGCAATAGTCAAGACGAGAGATAACAACTAGTGAGTGGATGAGTAATTTTGCGGTTTCATTGGTGAGGAAGGGGCATATTGCAGTGACCGTTCAGGTACTCAATCGGCCACCCCAAACGCTGCTGCTTGAGTACAATAGCCGTCGACAGGAGATTCTGCTTTGTTTGTCTATCATTCAGCCTGTTGGCTGAACAGCTTTTTATTTCAATATTTATAATAATAATATTATAAGTTGAAATAAGGTCCATTGACTTGCATTAGACGTGAAGACACCAAGGGACATTCCATAGACAGAATAGAGAAGGAGAGAGGTGAGTGCTAACCGCCGTGGGACAAAGAATCAGGAATATTTGCTTTATTTTACCCCTCTAGACAAAACAAGCACTTAAAGGAGAACTATGGAGTCAGTGTTTTTCCCCATAGTTCTCCTTAGGTAACGGGAGGACACAAACTAGCATCCTCCCGTTACCCTAAGGAGAACTATGGGGAAAAACACTGACTCCATAGTTCTCCTTTAACCCTTGCAGTGGGGCTGGTAGCCCCACTGCAAGGGTTAAAGGAGAACTATGAGGTGAGTGAAAAACACTCACCTCATAGTTCTCCTTTAACCCTTGCAGTGGGGCTGGTAGCCCCACTGCAAGGGTTAAAGGAGAACTATGAGGTGAGTGAAAAACACTCACCTCATAGTTCTCCTTTAACCCTTGCAGTGGGGCTGGTAGCCCCACTGCAAGGGTTAAAGGAGAACTATGAGGTGAGTGAAAAACACTCACCTCATAGTTCTCCTTTAACCCTTGCAGTGGGGCTGGTAGCCCCACTGCAAGGGTACATTTTTTTAAATTCCTGGAGTTGTTCTTTAAGGAAGTTTTTAATGTCTGTTTTAAAGTTACACTAAACTTGGGAGTTACATCTTAAAAATACATTCAAAGTACCTTAACTTTTAACAGAAATGTATCTTATTTGTGTATCACTCGGCTGTAGATCCTCAAATCATCTCTGAATTGGTGCCGACACTGTCCTTCCTTCTGGAGGGGGGCTACTTTTGTTCCCCATGGTCCCTGTGTGTGTTGTAATGTAGCCACCGCTCCAAGCTCACTCCTGTGATGGACTACAATCTCATGTTTGGTTTACTAATTTGTACCGAGATTGTAGTCCTTCACAGCACCAATTCAGAGATGATTTGAGGATCTACAGCCGAGTGATACACAAATAAGATACAATTTTTTGTTAATAGTTAATGAGTCATTAAACCTCCTAGCAAGCAGTAGATATATGCAAAAACTTTTTAAAAATACGCTTTAAAAGAGGTTAAAACTTACCTGTGTCCTCGCCGCACGCTCCCGTCCGAAAATCTGAAAAATCTCAAGCATCTTGGGGCGGGCGCATGCGCAGTTCAGATTTTCGGCCGGGAGACGAGGAGAGACACAAGGTACGTCTATGGACAGCGTGCACCCACATGCAGACACTGTGGGATGAGAAGTGCAAGCAAGCTAAATTTTGGGGTTTAATAAGGAGTTGCGCTAATATTGCGCAACATAAAAATTTTCAACTACCACCATTTTATTCTATAGGGTCTTGGCATTCAGAAAATATATAATGTTGGGGGGTTTTACGTCATTTTCAGGCCTAAAATGTGGAATATAACATGGGTGCAAAAATTGAAAAAAGGGCCTCAGTCATGAAGGGGTTAAGGTAAGTCCTTACACTAACATTGGGGGGAGGGGAAAAAAATTATACTATAATGTCACTGTACTTGAATGCATTTCTAAGATTTAACTCCTGAGTTTTGTGTCACTTTAAATTTGCTTTTACATGTTGTATGCAGCATTTTGATTTTGTATATGTAGCCTGTGCAATTGTATGTAGCCCAATCCTCACCTTTCTGAGCCTCATCTCACTGTGTTTTAGAGTCTCACACCAGGAGTAGCTGCAGTTGGGGCAATTCTGTTTTCGCATACGATACCTAATAAACATACAATAAAATTAGGATACCCAGATAGAGACAGATCTTTCCTGCATTGGATGTTCATTTGTCCAAATTATGTTTCCTGCAGCAAATACCTCTACAAACATACCAATTGCTCTTCACATTGTACTATGCATCTACATACATACTGTATGATCTTTACACACGTGTACCATACAAAAATTTTTTTACCAGTTTTTAAAATCTACTTCCTGAAAAGTTTTGGCGTGGGCAGCTTGTTCAGAAGATATTTTTTTTAACTTTTGGGCAGATAGTGACCGGCTCTCGGAGTCTGAAATAATAATTCCCTTTTTCAGGAACTTTACAAAATGTGTCAGGATTCTCAGATTGTATCTTTAGGTACTGTCACATCAAGGCTGGACAAATCCCAGGAGCCTTGTAGTCAGTGTTAAAATACAAGGGTATCTCTAACTGTTTGATTTCTAACAGCTTTCCCTATCCACAAAAACAGTATGGATAGGGAACCCCTCCACCCCCTGATGACGGGCTATTGTATTCTGACAGCGGCGGGTGTCCCATTGTCAGAATACCCAAACAGTGACTTCAGCTAATTTGCTGCAATCACTGTTAAATGTTACTTTTTCAAACTGGCTCCTTTGACAAAAGCTGATTGAAAAATCAACTTTTGTGGAACGGAGGGGGTGGGGGGTCAGAGGGGGCCACACACTTGTCGAATTCTGGCCCAGACAGCAAGACTCAGCTGGAATCCGAGCAGTGTATTGCCTGCTTTATGCCTTCCTATTACATTTACTAGAAGCAGTTCTCAGTTCCCTAAAGCAATCCTGTCAGCAGCTAGAAAAAAAAGAAAGATCACTTATACAGAAGGTGTCCCGTCATCTAAACAGAATGACAGGATGACATTTAGTTTGACAACGTACTGTGTATTATCATAAATAGCCATATTTGTTCACTGAAAGTGACACTAAACTCAGCCGTTAAATCTTTAAAATGCATTCAAGTACCTCAATTATTAACAAAACTGTATCTTATTGGTGTATCACTCGGATGTAGAGCCTCAAATCATCTCTGAATTGGTGCTGACATTGTCCTTCCTTCTGGAGGGTGGCTACGTTTCTTCCCCATGGTCTAATGTAAAGTAGTCACCACTCCAAGCTCACTCCCATGATGGACTACAATCTCAATACAAATTAGTAAACTAAACATGAGATTTTTGTAGTCCATCAAAGGGACCATGGGGAACAAAAGTAGGCACCCTCCGGAAGGAAGGACAGTGTCAGCACCAATTCAGAGATGATTGGAGGATCTACAGCCGAGTGATACACAAATAAGATAAATTTTTGTTAATAGTTAGGGTACTTAAATAAATGTTTAGGATTTAACTCCTGAGTTCAGTGTCACTTTAATATTGTTTTCACCTATTCTTGCATCTCAGTGCTGCTGCTTCTACCAGCCACTCTCTGCCTACAGCGTTGGCTGCACATTATTGCTCTGGGTCGGTTTCCTGATAACAGTGGATCATGTCTGTGCAAAGTGTGTTCGTACAGACACTTATAGTCTCCACCAGGGGTTTGTGTGATAGGGTGAAGATGCAAGGGCACAACCGGAAGATAGTTGTCGCCCCATTACAGCAAGTGATTCAGCAATTGCTAGATCACCAGGTATTATTTTAATGCAGATTCCAAAAGGTTGAAAATAAAGGTTAAACTCCAGGGAAGTGAATCTCATAGTGGGTATCACTGAGGCTGAGACTGGAAGATGGGGAGGCGCCTCTTGCGGTTCGCGTCCTGCGACCCCTGGAGTTTGGAACAGAAGGGCGCAGGGCAACGAGGAGCACGAGTGCCGAAGACTGGAAACGAACACTGCGTGGGAGCAGCTGAGAAGAGAGGTCAGGAAGCCAAGGTCAAATCCGGTCGGGCAGTATGATCATGACACATCTGAAGCACTTTGAGACGAACTTCGGGAGGTACAAATACCAAGCCATCCCGAAAAAATAACCCCTCCTTTTCCCGGAGTTTCAGATTGGCGGGCACTGCCGTACTGGAAGATGCCCGTCTCAACTGGGATTTCAAGTCTTCTTGTAAAAGGAGAAAGCTGTGGGCATCCAATTCTGCGACCCCTGGAGTTTGGAACAGAAGGGCGCAGGGCAACGAGGAGCACGAGTGCCGAAGACTGGAAACGAACACTGCGTGGGAGCAGCTGAGAAGAGAGGTCAGGAAGCCAAGGTCAAATCCGGTCGGGCAGGCAAGGTACAAAAACGTAAGGCAATCTCAAGGTCCAGGAAACAGGCCGGGCTCAAGGGCTGGCAGCAAGCAAGAGAGTAGTCCAGGGCAATCCGAGTCAGAGGCAGGCTTTAAACAATACAGGAACACAGGATACAACACAGCAAGCTGACAAGACCATCAGCAATGAAAGAGTCCCAGGATACTGACAGCTACCTCACTTCCTGTGTGGTTTCCCGCACATTTTGCCGCCATTCCCGCGCATGCGCAGTTTGCCGCGATTTCTCGCGCATGCACCGTTTGCCGCGATTTCTCGCGCATGCGCAGTTTGCCGCGATTCATGCGGTTAACAACCGTGCCTTTACAGTGGGACTCCCCCTGAACTGCAAGGGTAAAATCCTAATTTTTGCCTAGGAGACCAGAAATAAGGACTTTCTACTTACCTTATCCCTCACTCCTCCAGGTTCCTCCTTCCATATGTGTCCCCGGAAGCCTCTTCTTTGTCTCCAGATGGTGATTGCAGCTCTGGCATCATCAACTACAATGCAGGACCAGTAATCTTATACTTTAAGGCTACATTCACATGGGGATATAATGTGTGGCTGGGGATTTCTGTGGCAAGAATCTATGGATTCATGTGGCAGGAATCCCAAATGTGTCCACACAGGTGCAGCTGCTGTGCCTGTTTAAGTTAATGACAGGGTGACAGCGGCCACATCTGTCAGCGGCTGTCCGCATGTAATTGTACATGGAATGATTACCTACAGTTTAGGATAGATGATTGTCCCTGGATGCAATCTGTCTGTGTCCAGGGATAATCATCTATCCCAAACCACAGGTCATCTAAAAGGTGGAATTTCCCTTTAAAATATAGTCCCATTCCAGTGCTGCTTATAGAGAGTTCCTGAGGGGATCAAAGGCTTTTCTTGTTTCTTGTTCTATTTACCTGCTGTGTATGCATTTTTCTCTGTATGAAAATTCTTATGCTTTGTACTTGCTCCAATATCTCTAAAGTGTTTCCAACAAACCTGTACATGATACTTTGTAGAATCGATGCGAATGGTGTGATGCCTATTCCGGCTCCAATTAGCACAGTGTGATCTGAGGTAAAGATGCGTCGACTGGGAGTTCCATATGGTCCATCAATATAACACTACAGCAAATGGTTATACAATATGTGATTGATACAAAGATACAATGGAACATTTACAGCTGTGAACATAATATAAGACTGGTTACCTAAAATCATCTGTGCAGAACATGTCCAGTGTTATACATTTAGCTCAGTGCTCTCTATAAGCTGTCTTATCCGAGGGGGGGGTGGGGGGGGGGATACATACACATGCATATACGTAAATTGATTTAAAAAATCTGATAGGGGGTAACTAATGAGAGGGCACTCTGATGGATGCAACTAATAATCAGTTGTCCCTATCAATGTGCCCTCTTACATTGGTTATTGCCATCAGCGTGCCCCCAACGCAATTAATGTAAGAGTGCACTCTGATGGGGGCAACTAATGTAATGGGGCACTCTGATAAGAACTAATTATTAGTTGTCCCCATTAGACTGCCCCCTTATATTGGTTGTCCCCTTTAGATTGCCCTCTAATATTATTGTGCCCACATAACTTATTTGACATAATAATTAGTTGTCCATATTAGAGTGCCCTGTTAAATTGATTGTGCCCATCAGAGTGCCCCCCTTTTTTTCATAGTTAATGTAAGGGAGCACGCTAGTGGGGAACACCAACAGAAAGGGGCAACCTGATGGGGACAGCTAATTATTAGTTGTCCCCATTATAGTGCCTCCTTACACTGGTTGTCCTCTTTAGTGTCCCTTTATATGTCCCCACATACCTTTTTTTCCTACCTTATCAGTAGGCCAGAGGCAGGAGCCAGACCATGGGCCGGACAGGGACAGACAAAGGGCCAGATGTGGCCCACGGGCCGTAAAATGCCCAGGTCTGGTCTAATCACTATATTCTCTTCCTCTTTATCCCCATAGGTTCCATGGAGCTTAAACAAAATTTAATGCATGATATTAGACCCCTAATATAACCTCTGCACTCTGTTGAAGCTATTCAAGCACAGACTGTGCTCGATCAGCTTCTTCTTCGGGCAGAGTGGCCAGGGCTTGACAGCACTGAACCCAGAAGTGCTCAAAGAAAAGCACTTCTGGGTCAATACTACCCAGGGGAGATCACTCCCTTCTGTGCCACCATGATGGTCCTGGGAGAGACAGGTAAGACCAGCACATATGGCATGGAGGGTCAGGTGGAGGAAGGGGAGGAGGGGCACATACCTGAGCAGCAGTTGGGAGAAAGAAATGTATATCACGTTTCATTCATTGCAATTGTCGTGTTTGGCAAGTGGCACCACCTGTCAAATGCGACATGCAGTTTAAACTTTGCCACAGCATGTACACAGAGCTGAGTGGCTGTGGTTTTACCTTTTTAGGTGGGTGGCTGGGGGGGTGGCAGAGAAAATGCGCGTTCTGTGCTGCCCGTCTGAACTCAGCCTAACAGAGAAATCCCTAACCTACAAATCTCAATATGTGGTCACTGACAATACTTTACATTTTCCCTATAAAACAGCTCCTTGCTTTAGTCACACATATCCTATAATGATTACATAATGATTACTGGAATGACATTTGTTTGGATTGTAATGTTAGGACACTCACCTTTATATTACACAACATGTGATTTTCATTAGCTTGAAAGGAAACCTGAAAAGACAGATTAAACAGTAAGATGTTTACAAGGAACTGATTCAGGTGGAACTATGCCTTTTAAATATTCATTTATTTCAAGATTATTATGTGTCAATGTGAGTGGCTATCTCTTCCACTGACAATAATCAGTCTAATAGATCATACCATATCCAGTGCATTCAGGGGCGGTTCGAGCCCGGAACGCACTGGATCGCATAGATCAAGCCGGGCAGCTCTCTGGGGCAAGAGAAGGCGTGTTGGTGCCATTCATGCCAATGGTTCCACAGACATGTCCTCCGCCCGCACTGCAATTGCCCGCACCGGAGCGCGAGGTACAGGAATGCACGTAGTGCCGCAAGCACTATTTTTTCAGACCGTACTGCACTGGATACATGCCTGTACCTCGCATTCCGGTGCAGGCGATCGCACTGCAGGAGGGGGGCATTGACATGAATGGCACAACACGTCCCCTCCTGCCCCAGAACGCTGCCCGGTTTGATCTATGCAATCCAGTGCGTTCCGGGCTCGAATCGCACCGGAACATACTGGATATGGTGTGACTGAATACAGAATAAAGTGAGATCTTCTTCAAGGCGGGAAAGCTATGATAAAAGTACGGTGTGAATGGACTTGGTTTCTGTCCTAGGCTGCTACCTCTGATCACAATAGACAAATCGCTCATCAGATGATTCAAATGATACTGAAGTCAAAGGTTTTAAGCTGCTATATGTACAGCATCAGGTGTGTGGTGCCTGACACAGTACCGATGCGCCGATCCCAGCACATTCCATTGTGGGGTTTGTTTTTTTTTCTTTTAGAACTTGATTGAAATGCCACATTATAAGTTACAATAAGTTACATTTTATTCAGTTCTACAAGCACTGTAGGGGTGCGAGGTGGTTGTTCCACATTGCATCCCGCTGTCCTGATAAAAGTCGAACATGCCATACTATTTTCAGCGCACACCACCACGTTCCCATCACAACATGGTGGAGTAAACCGATCCCATCCATGACAAGGCAAATTGCCTTGTCTTGCATTGGGAAGGTGTTGTTTCCAGCGCAGGCACATCGCAAGACAGGGCAATTGCAATTTGAATGCTGCTCCTTGATGTTTAAATGTTTTAGTTTCCTGCAGAATCAACTGGTCCCCTGAGCACTGGCCCTGATAGAGTGGTTTTAGGGTGGCTCCTTTCCCTTACAGGGTCCTATGGAGCCACCCTTGTATGTGTTAGTAAGCTGTGTGTGTCTCCACAAACACACAAGACACAGCAAGGCAAGCTGCTGTCTGCTCCTCCTCCTAGCTAGTAGGTGGACATCTGTTGGAGACTGCTTTGTCCCTTGTGATCTTGTACTGGAAAAGAAGTTCAGGAATGCTGAGCTGAGAGAGTTGGAGCCAGCTGTTTGGAAACAGGATGACTGAAAGTGTATGGGCAAAAAATAAAAATAAAATACTTTGCTTGGCAATATATATTTGTTTGATCCGGACTCATTATTGAAAAATAGTTTGGGAGTTTAAAGAAGAAATGTTATTAATCCTTGCCATGTGGCTACCCCCACACTGCTTGTTTGTGTCGAGGTGCTTCTCCATCCCTCCGGCGCCGCTCTGCAGCCCAGCAAGGGGCCGCCTAATTTGCATGATTAGAGACTGTAATCAGGCAAATTAGGCGGAGGCTCAATGGAGCATCACAGCTGTGCCACAGCTTCACAAGTTATACAACAAAGAAGGATGTCAGGGAAAATGGACCTTAGCAGTGTAAGGTTCTGTGAGTCATCACGTTCTATACAGTGTATAGGATGTATGGACACCAAGGGACATTCCATCGCTGTAGCATAGCTGTAAAGGAGCCAGCTGTGATCTTGGTTCAGGAGAGTATAACTGTGTTATTTTAGCTCCCTAGACAAAATAAGCACTTGACTCTTGTAGTGCGGGGGTAGCCCCATTGCAAGAGCTAACATTTGATTTGCCCGGAGTCCTGCTTTAATGCTTTAACTCAGACTTTCTAGCAAACTCTGTCCTGCTTCTATACAAACCATTGCTGAAGCCTTGAAGAGGAGGGAGGTCTTCCTCTGATACACGTTGGCTATATCTGATACTCTAAACCAATACATATTTTAAACATTTGTACTTAGTGCCTCTAACCACACATACAGTAACTGACCATAATTAGCATTATTTTAAGGGCAACTCTTGGCAACAAGTAAAAACAATCTATGAAATGCTGATGCTACCAAGGAAGGATTGCCACTATCACAAATTCAAATATTCACTTCTTTAATCTGACTTTTATAGACTACTTTGTGGGCAGATACAGCAACCTGTTCATACTGCTTCTAGGCAGAATTGTAGCCTTATGTCAAAATCTTCTTTGCTGTGCAACTTCCCACTCATGCACCAATGTGTGCCATTAAGGCTGCAGTGGGCATAGACAGAAGTGATAAAGTCTAGGAGCAAACTGGCCTTCAGTTTTCCTCACTAAATCCAAGAACAACAAAAAAAATCTGTATTTCTATACTGAAGTTCTAGCCCACTCCTAATAACCATGTCAATCTATCTAGTTTGTAAACATACTTATTAAAGCTGTGCATAGGATGTACTGCCTCAATGCACTGACACATTCTTACTCAATCCTGTAATATGCACTTTCTTCTGTCACTCTCACATAACCTGCCTTCTGAACTACAACTCAACGGCTGAACAATGTAGCATTTTAATTGCTTGCTAGAAGCAGTGCATAATGGGATATGTAGTCTTGAGAAATCGATATTGCATCACATCAAGCAGAAGGGAATGTAAGATATCCAGGTCTACTGCGCATGTGCGTGGTCCCGTTTTTCGCACCATAGGAAAATGGGCACTTGCGCGCGTATCGGGACGTACGCGCAAAGGAAGGATGCAGTACCTCTGAACTGATCTCCCTATTTAAAGCAAGCATAGCCTGGACATAATTGCTGGGTGGTCTTTCAGCTTGTCCCTGTGATCCTGTTTGCTCTGCCTGTTTACTGCTCCTGTATTTTGACCCGGATTAAACCTGACTGCTCCTGATTGCTGCCTGCCTTCTGACCTTGGAATTGTTACTGGACCTTTCCTCTGCCTCATCCCTTGTACTTCGCTGCCTGACTGGTGTTACCCCTGGCTTGTCTGACCTTGATTCTGCCTGCTGCTCTGCGCTGCTGTCTGCCCGGTGTGACATCGGCTCTGCTCTGCCCAATCCTGATTCTGGACTTCTGCCTGGCATGGTGTTGCCCAATCCACTGGCACCCATGCTACTTCCTGTTTCTCAGGCTCTGCTCCCATCCTCAGAGTTTGGGGAACACAAGGTGCAAGGGGAGCCGCCTCCTCCATCCAGTCTCCAGCCAGGTACGTGATAGGGAAAGAGATGCAAAACACACTGGGAATCCGGAAGTTGGTAAAAGTGATGGGCAGACGACAGGCAGCACTCACTACATAAATGGGATTTTTTCAAGTAAGCTTTGATTGCATTATCAAAAACAATTCTAGTATCTATTCCTATTACAATGCTGATGTTATAACAGGAGAGCATATGCTGGGACTTTACAACTCCTTTAAAAGATGGGCAAAACACCTGCTCTATGGATTTAAATATCTCAGCATCCAAAGAAAGATATAACTAATGGCTGAATAGTTAATGTTGCACAATGCTCTTCCCTTATCATACATGGTTGAGTATGTCATTGGCTAATAAGGATTGCATGACGTTATGGACATGATTAAGGCTTTGTAGCAATATGCCTGAAAACCGTGCATGGCAGATGTCTAGTTTTTCTTATTTTCTCACTTGCTGTCACTCATCTAGAATTGAACAATGGTTCATGAACTGTTATCTTACATCTCGGCTCTGTGTACTTCTTTCTCCATCCAAGCCGACATGAACTTCTTCATCAAGCTGGTTCTTACGTGGTCGGTATGACGTTAGTTCAATCTGTGCATCCGTACTGCTGCCAATAACACCAGCAGAGCTGAAAAGATGCTCCTGCAACGATATAATGGAAATGTAATTTCAAAACATCTTGATACAAAAATCACATTCATCTTGATTTATTTAAAAGAGAACTATGTGGTAAGTGTTTTTCCCCCATAGTTTTCCCCCATAGTTCTCCTAGCTGTACCCGCATAGTTCTCCCAGCTGTACCCGCCCCCTCCCCTGTCCGTTCCACCTGTCATCGCTGGAGGATCGGAGAGGGGGGAAATCCCTGCAGGGAGCTGTGAGTGACATCACGGCTCTCTGCAGGGACATGATCGAGAATTGAGCGAGCGACGGTATGTGTTCGCTCACTTCCCGATCTATTGAGTCGACCTGTGACAGTTTCATTGTCACACTTCGGCTCGAACTATGAGGATGAGTAAAAATCACTCACCTCATAGTTCTCCTTTAATGTAAACCTATAACAATAGAAAAAAAGGAAACCTTACCTACAATCTCTGCTTTCTGGTTGTAGAAAATAGAACCTCCCCGGACCCCTATTGTCTCGTATCCAACTCACAATGCAAAATCTGGTGTCTCAGCAACTTATCATCATGCCCGGGTATTGACACATGCATGGCAGGGGGTAATCTTATGGCTATGCAAACAATAACTCTCAGCAAATTGCTATTTACATAGCTGCTGTGGGAGGACTCCAGGGAGTGCTGATCTTTGTGAACATCCAATTATTTGTATATGTTGTCAGCTTTGTGATCCATGTTTGTTCATAACATTTTCCATCTACTAACTTGCAAGGAATCATCATCTAAAAATCAGAAAGTCCACTTATGTTACTATGCGTGTTCTGGACCTTCCTGTCATGCTGTAGTTTGAGTAAGTGGGGTCACAATGACCCTAGAAAAATATTAATCTTAACATGTATTTCCACTTTTCCAGCCAAATTGGGATACCACCTATTTTATATTTGTTACATGTTCCCATTCACATATCATAACTTGTTGCTTACATTTTTAAGTGCTTTTTTTCTCAAAGATCCTACCTAGCTTCCCCCCTATGTGATGTTAAGGAGGGGGCTATGGGAAGTCACGTTAACTCTAATTATTCCGGTCTGTACTGTGCTGGCAGATTTTTATTATCAGTTGTAAACTACAGTAGATTTGAACACAAAGGGTTATAGACTTAGGATCATTGTACGTAAATGAGAGGAAGCTCAGTCTCTCCCTTAGGTTGCCCCTCTACTTCCAAACTGCTCAGAGTAGCCTGGAATCTGCACAGAGGCCTTCACCAAAGAAACATCCAAAAGGTAAGAAATTTTTTTTTACATTATTTTTATATACGCTGTGTGAACAGAAACACGTAACAAACATATAGTCGGGTTTACTCAAATCTGACTGCAAAAGCGGAACTACACTTTAAGCTAGTAATGCATGTCTTGTGATGGAGGAATCAGTGGTCGACCTAATAACCAAAGGGCCCTGGTGCAAGATTTTATCTTGCACCA